AAATCATCCCAGTAGTAATTTAATATTATGTAATAATAGCTGGCAGAGAAGGTTGAACGCCATTCATGTAACAAATTTACATGTTGGCCACGGGGAAGACTGGGCACTATGTGCTAGGAACACAAAGTCAGGGAGAATAGACCTGCAGGAAAACCATTGGAAATTGGATTATAAAATAGGCATCAAAAAAACCCTACATGAGGGGCGCCTGGGTGGCTCAGTGGGTTAAGCCGCTGCCTTCGGCTCAGGTCATGATCTCGGGGTCCTGGGATCGAGTCCCGCATCGGGCTCTCTGCTCGGCGGGGAGCCTGCTTCCCTCTCTCTCTCTCTCTCTCTCTGCCTGCCTCTCTGTCTACTTGTGATCTCTCTCTGTCAAATAAATAAATAAAATCTTTAAAAAAAAAAAAAAAAAACCCTACATGAAAAGTGCGGTTGGATGCAGAGTTTGGTGGTGTCCTCTTAAATCTAAGGTAGGCAAAGACCTAATGCTTGGGATGGACTGGACGCTTGCTTTGAAGTCATGAGCCATGGCCCCCACTGAAGCCAGGCCAGCTTGGCGCTTCACAGGCTGTCCTCCTGAGGCTCTCCCCTTTGCATTTCTAAACTGCAGAAAACGAATTTTAAAGTCGTATTTTATTTACGTGCCAGACCATGTTTCTTCAGGACCCAGCAGCCCCATTCCAGTGGAGCCTGCTGGTGGTCAGTGGGAGTTTATTTATATATAACTCTTCTTAATCTCTTTCTTTCTTCTCACACCCTGGATGCTTCAGTACCTGGCCAAATTTTATTTAATTATTAAATCTTTGGGGTTCTTGGCAAATCCATAGGTCTATTTAATTTTTTACCTGTTGTGTGTATAGTACCAGAAAAATCACATAAGCCAATTATAGGTGTCTAGTATTAGTAATTGTAAGATATTGAAAAGACATGCTAATTATATACCTTGAGGGGAAATGTAAAGTGATTTTAGAATTGGGAGGGGCCTTTAGCGGTGGGAGAAAGGATCACCCCTCCTTTTAGAGGTGATGTAAATTAGGTCTGGATCCTTTGCTGAGGTTACAGAGCTGGAGATTGTAGAGGAGTAAGAAAAGAGGTCGTTGCTAACCTTCCTTGAGTTGAATACTGTGATTGAACCATCTGGAAGCAGAACTTGCCAGTAAGGCTCCACAAATATGCTAGAAAGGAAGAAAGTGAAAGAATGGTGGTTAAATTCATCCAGCACGGTCTGTGGGTAGGACATGCGAGGTGGAGGTGCTGAGCCCTATGCCATCCCGTTCCTGGAAGGCTGGGTGCTGATGCCTGCCCACTGGGCTCTTGCTCCCTGGAGGGGGACGGGGGGAATGCTGCTGGTTTGGGAGATCGGGTGGCCCCAGGGACCGGCTCCATTGCTCGCCTCCTGCTTGGAGGCCACCCGGACCGGTAAGGAATCAGGTGTGTGTGGCCATTGTGCCCAGGGCAGGTTTGTGTGCCCTCCGGTGCTGGCGCATCAGGGAGCTGCTGGGCCAGCTGGCAGGGACCCAGGGTCCCAGGGCGATGAAGAAGGGCGGGGGCTCTGGGTCAGATCTGCGCGGTGGTGCGGAACTTGCAGATTGTGGATTGCCGTGGGGGTGGGCCTGCGGCGGAGGCGGGTGTGGGGCCGCCAGGAAACTCCTGCAGAAGCCTGGATGATTTAACAGATACCGACAGTCAGGATGGAAAGAGTAAAGGGGGTTTCAAAATGTTCTGGGGATAAGCTAGGTAGAGAGAGAGAAAGTGCGTGTGTGTGTGTGTGTGTGTGTGTGTGCGCGTGTGCGTGCGCGCGCGCGCGCGCATGTGAGCTCACTCTAGGAGGGTCTTGAGGACCAAGACTGGATACCACTGTATTAGTTTGCTCGGGCTGCTGTAACCGAGGGCTACCAACAGGGGGCGCTCCAAACAACGCAGATTGATTCTCCCACCATTCCTGAGGCCAGAAATCAGATCTCAGTGTGGGTAGGGTTGATTCCCCCTGAGCCTGTGGGAGTGGATCTCTTCCAGTCCTGTCTCAGGCTTCTCGCGGTTTGGGGGTATCTTCGGTGTTTCTTGGCGAATAAAGCTCCTGCATCCATCTTTACCAAAATTTCCCTTGTCCAGGGACTCCAGTCCCTGGATAAGGGGCCCATCCTACGCTAGTATGAGCTCATCTTAACTAATCACGTCTGCAGTGAATTTATTAGCACATAAGATCCTTTTCTGATGTATTGGGCGTGAGGACCTCAGCATATGAATTTGGTGGGGAGGGGACCCAGTTCCGCCCATAACAGAGGTAACGGTAGGCCACTGCATGAAATTAACATTGCTCTTTTAGGATGTGATAATTAGCAACTTAACAGATTGAGGAACACTTAACGATTACTGGGGTTTTTTAAATACCTGCTGGAACAACAGGGTTCCCACAGCCTCCCGAGGGCCCCAGACCTCAGCCCTTCCCTCCGTTTTCCTGAGCACAGGCAAGACTGTGTTGCTGAAAGGACATTTGTGAGGTGCTACCCAGACCAGTCCCTGCCACCAGAGGGCCCAGCAGTTGTGACATGTGAACTGCCTTGAAATCACTTAGAGCACCAGTATTTCATTTCCTACGACGTGAGAGCTCTAAGTTCCACATCAGATCTCTCGATGGACGTGATCTGAAGTGCTGTGCTCCCTCGGCTTCTCTGTAGTGGCCATCACCCTAACTCAGGCGCTGAGATCGACCCATCGGGAGTCAGAGGGAGGAATCGTGAGCTTGTACACAGATTCCCGTGGCTTTTCCCTTGTCCCCCTCAGTGTGACCCGTCAGATCTCTACAAACAGGATGTGAGGGGAAAGGTTTTTCCCAAAGTAAAGAACAGATTTCCCATCTGACATTGGTTTTTCGTGAGAAGTTGAATTCGATTCATTCTCGCCAAGACATAGAAGGTTTCCAGCATCTCTCTCTCTCTCTTTTGAAGATTTTATTTATTTATTTGAGAGAGAGAGATCACAAGTAGGCAGAGAGGTAGGCAGGGAGCAGGCTCCCTGCTGAGCAGAGAGCCCGATGCGGGGCTCGATCCCAGGACCCCGGGACCATGACCTGAGCGGAAGGCAGAGGCTTAACCCATTGAGCCACCCAGGTGCCCCAAGCATCTCTCTTTTTTAAAGATTTCAAAAATGTGGAAGTGATCTGATTTCTGTTGCAATAGCGATATAAGGAGGCTTATACATTAAGTGTATCTTTTATAAAAGCAAGTGATAACTCTTGGCAGAAATTTTGAATAGCACTAGTAATCCTTGCGAGTGATTGCTGCCCTTCGGGTGGGGCAGGGGCCCCATTTTATAGAGGGGGACACTGGGGTAGAGAGAGTTGAATAAGGACAGCGAAGTCCCTGGGGTGGCGTGTTGTGGCCCCGGGATCTGCACAGAGTGCTGGCCTGGCCTTGGAGTCTTGTGGCTGCGTCCCCATGGGGGCATGGGGACTCTGCTGGGCGCCCAAGGTTTCCTAGCTCATTTTACAATCGTGGCAGCCCAGCAGGGACAGAGTGCTGTACTTTTCTCCTTATACGGAGTCTGTGATTGGGGACCATAGGTCATCTGCCCGTCTTCCTACAAGTGCAGAAAGTGGGCCGAGCTTGTCCAGATCCAGCAAGCAAACATGCCCGTCTCTGTGCTCTGCCCGCAGTCTTTGATAGTGGCCTTGCGGGGATGGGGGGGGGGAGCAGAAGGAACATCGGTCTGTGCTGTTGGAACGTTGGAGAGTTGTCTTTGGTTTTTGTTACTGAGCAGACTGAGCAGCAGATAGAGCGCGTGTGTTTTGCGGGCCCAGGAAGGAGAAGAGAGTGGGGGCGTGCATCTACATATGTGCAGATGTGGGCCTGCTTCAAAAGGTTGGTCCCCCGGCTGGCCTGCCACTGTGCACATAGCAGGTGCCTGTCCGGAGCTGTCGGGGAGGCCCAGGAGATAGAGGGCCCACTTGCATCCTCCGGGGCTGGTGGGGACGCTCTGCCCGTGTGGTTCTCTGGGAAGTGGTCGTCCGGGGCTCAGGTGGTGTTTCTGGAAGGCATCTGTGCCAAGGACAGAATGAGAGCAGGTGCTGATGCATTCCTTTCTCAGAAATAATTCAGAATCCTGGTGAGGACTGAAAGCCCAGAATCTCGAAAGTGCTTTGTCTTTGGAGGTGGCTGAGGGAACCAGAAGTGGACATCCTTCCCACGTCCAGGAGAAGCCTGGTGGGGTGGTCTGGGGTGCCACGAGGAGGTGCACAGGACAGTTGCGTGTCCCTCCCCAGCTAGGCGTGTGCGGGACTGAGATGAGGAGGGCCAGCCCCCCTTCCCGTGAGCACACACACACACACAGCATCCCAGCAGGGTCCCTGGTGGTTTCTCGCTAACATGGCGTGCTCTCTAACCCCCCCTCACCAGCCAGCTGCCCCGCTCTGTCTCGACTTGTGCGAGAGGCCATCCGTAGTTCTGTCTAACACGTGTGTGCTAGTCGAGCGTCCTCCCCGTGCTCGTGCCCCGTGAATACGGAAACACCATTCCCATGATGTTCTGTGTTTTCCTTTCAAAAACTGGGTTTCTCTTGAGGAGAATACAGGTTCTCAGCCCTTGAATTTATCAAAATGTTGTAGATTAGGCACCTGTTGAACATGAAAAATTCGTTTTAGTTTTGCGAACCCAACAAGAGAATGCTAATTCCTGTGCTGTTTCTGAACTCTGCATCAATGTGTTCCCAGGGAGAGCGAATTCCCGAATTTACAAACAAAGGCTACAATCAGATGCTTCCCTTCTCAGCCACAGGTGACCCCGGCATTGCCTGGGAGGCTGTGGACACAGGTCCTTAATGACAAATACTTAAAATCTGAGTTCAGTACTTCTTTTAAAATCCAGTGGTTGCTGGTCCTAAATACTGAGAGTTGCCTCCTGGGCGACAGCCTAGGGTGTATTTTTCCACAAGCGAAGCCCACGTCTGTTTGCCCTCCTCACACTCTGTCTTTCCTCTGTAACGAGATGTTTTGTGTGTGGCAGGTGGCAGGTTCAAGAAAGAGATCGTTGTTGATGGACAGAGCTACCTGCTGCTGATTAGAGATGAAGGGGGCCCCCCAGAGGCGCAGGTGAGTACTACAAGCAAAAAAATGGTAAGCAGCCTCTCACCTTTGCTCCCTTGTTAAGGTTCTGGTTCAACAGGTGATTCTGAAATCTGTCAGGTGTGTGCAAGAAAGGTGACTAGAGCCCCCACGAACACGTTCTGTCTAATAAACTAATTCTGTTGCTCCTTCAGACACAATCCTGGAGGGAAGTTAGGTCTGTGTGGCTGGTTTTCACTTTGTGTTTTTAAGATGGAGGGAACAGCAGAATTTGCGCTGATTTGTTGACTGTTGATGTGACATCTGGAAATGTCCATAGTACTCTACCATTCTCTGTCTGCGGTTTATTCCCTAGAGCAGCAGGATGATTGAGAAAGTTGCTGGTCTAAAGTCTGGAAATCCAATGGGGGCTGCCATGCTGCTTTCCGGCCTTCTTGGTGTAGGGTAACTCTACTGAAAACCAGTGTGCGATATGGTGTGGTTTCCTTGGAGGTTCTCAAGGCTGGGCATCCTGGAGATCAAAAAGCTTAGATGTGGAAAACTTTTCCTTGGTTTACTCAATCTCCAGTTTATTATTTTATTTTATTATTTTACTTATGTAATAATTTACTAGCCAAGCACATATTACGACCTGAATCCAGTCAGCAGCGAGCAAACGCCTGCCCTGTGTGGGTTCGCTCCTGTCATCCTTGAGACGCCCCAGGGAGCATGCTCTTAGGAATCCTGTCTTCACGGAGGACCCTGATGCCTCCGTGGAGGGGCACAGACCGGGGGATGGAACCAGAATCCCCCAGAGATCTCTGTCTTGGCCTCTGGCCATGAGACTGTGTTGACCAGTCCTTTCTTCTAGCTGTACTTTGTTCAGGAGCCTTCTTTAGCCCAGAAGCGTACCCTAGTTAAAGATTTCTACCGTGGGGGGATATCAACAAAAAGCCTTTCAAAATTAAGGACAGGATTTTGTACAAAATTAGGCAGAGTATGTTTGAATATCCGGGGCTGGGGGACATATCTGTTTTCCCGTTACCCTTCTCAGGCACATGGAAGCCTGATCTTTGTTTTCATTGTTCCAGAATAGTTCATGCACCTCACCTAAGAGAACAGCTTCATGAACAGGATTGTAAGGCTTCTTTGTGGCTACTAGTGTCCTCTTAGGTTTGTGGAAAACCTGCCGGTTCACCGGCTTTTTGTGTGTGGCAGTTGGTGGGAGCAGCCATTGGGATGGGTGAGGGCTGGCTATGGAGTGCTCACCACCTGCTGGGTGCTGGGGCAGCCCGGCCATGGCCACGGGAGAGTGGGATGTGGCTTGCTTTTCCTCTGCACGGGGGCTCACACAGCCTTGCTCCAGTCCTGGAGGACCACGAGAGCTCTCCGGGTGCTTGTGCTCGTGCGTGTGGGGAAGCTTCACTGCACTTCTCGGAAGAGAAAGGGAAAACATACCTTGAGGTGGAGAAAGGGGAAAGGAGAAGCCCCTGGTCCCCTGGGTCCTGGGCCCTTTGCAGGGGCATCAGGCCTGTCCCAGGATTCATTCTTAACAAGATCCTGGTCTCATTTAATTCTGCTGTTATCATTTGGACTTCGTCTTTACTTAAATTTTATCATGTAGAATTTTCACTTATAGCTGAATCATTTTTCTGTTGTAAGTCACAGCTTACCCCACAAAAAAATTCCCCCAGATATATCAGAGCTGATGCCTAGGCCGGTAAAAGCTTACCTAGGAACTGTGGCTTCGCAGAGAAAGTAAACAGGATTAATATTATTTTTCATTTTCATGTAGAAAGAGCAGGGTCTTAGGTGGCAAATTGGCCTGCTCTGGATTCTGCTGTTGCAACCATGTGTGCCGCTGGGGGTGCTGAGCCTCCAGGGCCCCCGTTCACTAGGCTCCAACCTTACGAGTGGTTTAAGTACTGAGTGGGCCAGTACATGCCTGGCTGTAGTCACTTGCCCCGAGTAGAAGTGATGGAGGCTTCACCTGGATGCAGGTAAAACAGGAACAAAACGGCAAGAGTCAGGCTGTTGTGGGATTTTAATGTTTTTCCCTGATTTTTGCTCATTTTGTTGATTAGCTTTGTGTATTTCTCTAACCATGGTTTATCATATCCTCAGAGGGGGCTTTCAGAATTCACTGGCAGGGGTGCCTGGCTGACTCATTTGGTGGAACACACGACTCTTGATCTTGGGGTTGTGAGTTCAAGCCCCACGTTGGGTATAGAGATTACTTAAAAAAAAAAAAAAAAAGGATTCAGTGGCAGCTGATATTTTCAGTAGAAGGACCTCTTCTTGTGAGAAGGAGTGGGCCACAGCCTGGGTAGAGGATTTCTGAGAGGCCACGGGAGCCCGGAGAGGAGGCCCCCCCGCCCCATCTCAGAGGGGTCCAGCCAGGCTCCTGGAGGTCCTGCGGAAGGGAGTTGGCGTGAAACAAAGCTCCAGCATCACTGTCAGCACCTGTCTTCCGATGTAGGGAAGGTTCTTCTGTGAGCCTGGGTTTGCCTTGTGTTTGTGGGACTGTGGCTGGCTAGATCGGGGGCAGAGGGTAGATGTGCATGTGCAGGTTGTGTTTCTGGGAGTCCGGAGTGGCCTGGGTGGGAAGGGGGCGAAGGTCCACTTCCAGATGTGTCACGAGGAGGATGTTAGTGACACCAGAGCCACGTGTTACAGCCGAAGTCAGGCATCCATTGGACTTGGCCTGTGTGAGGGGACTGCCCGCCACGCACCCTGTCCTCCCGAAGACGCCGTCCCCACCCTTCCTCTCCGACAGACAGCCTTGTCACTCAGCTTCCCTTCTCTCTGCCCTCTTTTCTCCCTAGTTTGCCATGTGGGTGGACGCTGTGATATTTGTCTTCAGCTTAGAGGATGAGATAAGCTTCCAGACCGTTTACCACTACTACAGTCGGATGGCCAACTATCGGAACACGAGCGAGATCCCTCTGGTTCTGGTGGGGACCCAGGGTGAGTGCCGCCCACGCGCAGCTTGGGGGTGAGGGACCCCGGCAGTTGAACAGTGAGTGGACTCAGGGCCTGTGGTTTTGGCGTGGAGGAGTTTGAAAATGGTGTAAAGAAGAAATAATTTCCTCCTGAAGGCTTTTTCTGTGAGAATCCAGGAAACTGAAATTGTCCCATTTCCTGATTTGATTCTATGGAGAAATCACTCGGTCAGCACCTTCAGAGCAAAATCCTTTCCAAGTGCTTTCGAGAAAACAAAATCTATTTTCTCTTCCTGTCATGGGATCTCTTAATTCTTTTGGGTATGTCAGATAGTTGATAAGCAATTTAAAAGCGTTGATTTTTAACTTTTGGTACATCTTTAAAATACTACTGATTTCTTATACGCAGCAGAGTTTTGTTTTATTTTGCTCTCTTTGTTAATGTGTTATGACCTTTGTGTAATTTTTCACCTGGAAGGTACCTCAGTGTCTGGAATTACCTGTAAGAGTGCGTTTCTTGTCTTCCGCTAGGCCACTTAACACTTGGCCTCTTGCAAAGTGACAGCCCTGAAGTGTCCTTGTTCTGGATCAGATTCACTGATGGGCTGATGTCCACCATCTGGGTCTTAAGGCCACATAGAATGTTTTTAAAAATTAGATGCGGGTTGACTTTAAAGCTGCTTTGTCAGCAGTACGGTAACTTAAAAATGATCACGTCAAGACAAACTGGATTATGCCTTCATTTTGTCGTTGTTGCTGTTCATGTGCTATGTGTGTTAATTCCTTTAGAACGTCCACATCGGGTCTGCCTTTCTATGCCCTGATGTGAGACTTTTGTAAACGAGAAACTGGCTGTGTGGCAGCAGGGACAGACGGCCAGCTGTGTGCATGGTACGGGGTCTCGTGTGCCAAGAGGGAGCTCAGGTGGGGAAGCAGCTGCCCTGCCACGGAGCGGCGTGGACCAGCCCCAGCGTGGGCGGGTGTGTCTCATGAGAACAGAAGTGGCATGGGATCCACGGAAAGCATCATCTCCGTGTGTTAGATACAAAATGTTCGAGTCGGGTTGTCGTGGGGAGCACCCCCGCCCTCTTTTAGGGAATGTGTAATGGCCAGGGGTCTCAGGACTGAAGCCTGGGAGTTAGTGCCGGGTGGATTCCACCTACAACCAGATGGGGAAGAGGTTCTTTGTGCCCAGGGCGCCCTCTAGTGGTCGCCGGGAAACCAGGGCGGGCCCTTGGGAAGCCCTGGGTTCTTGCTCTAATTCACCGAACGGCCTGTTGGAATGGGGCCTCCTGAAAATTCTGTGTTTTGTGGTGGGTGGCAGGATCTCCAGCAGGTCTGCTGAGAGCTGCCCTGAGGCTGGAGCGAGTCCTGCGGGCCAGCCCAGGGCATTTCTGAGCAAAGTCAGACACTGGGTGCAACCGTCCCCCCGCGGCTGTCTGAGTTCAGGGCTTTGTGTCTTTGACTCACAAAGCCTTTTTTCTGTGGACTCACTGTGCTGGGCTCAGGGACTTCCTTGGTCTGGGCAGGGAGATGATACGTGATCCACTTGTGGTCATGTCGTCTTAGACAACCGTGGTTTCGGTAGTAGAGGGTGGAGTGTCTGGTCCTGGGTGTGGGGGCTGGCCAGCCCTGGCATTAGAGCATCCTGGCTCCGTGACCTGGACTGCTCCCTGCCCGGACTCTGGCTGGGCTGCAGTGCAGGAGCTCCTGTGAGGCTCCTGAAGCACCCGCGGGCACGTGAATGTACTACAAGCAGTCACTTCGTTCTCTTTGTTAGATCCCGACAGACAGCTTTACTAGGTCGTGGCTAGGGTTCCAGAAACACGCCTCTCTCTTCCCTTCCCTGGAGATGAGCGTTGCTCTCTGTGTCCTACCACAGCTGCGGGAAGGCAGAACCATGCCTCCCCCCAGGATGGCCCACGTGTTTGTAGAGGAAGCCTGTGGAAGGCTCCATAAGACTCCGGGAAGCCCCAGTGTGGTCCCCGAGGGGAAGAACCCACCCCTTTTTCTTCCTGCTGGTCTTCTCAGCATTTGTGTGGAAAGGCCTCAGACGAGTGAGCACCTGAGCCAGGGAGCCTGGCTGGAGGGTGGATGCTGGCAGTCTCCTCACGTTCACATTTGTCTGTGGGGCTTTGTTCATACGTCAGCACTGCCCCATCCCGAATGAACAGGACATGTTACCAAGTAGGGACGTTCCTCACCTGAGGGGTCCTCTTGGTCAGACCTCTCATTTCCAGAGTGCCCTAGAAACCCCTGTGGCAAGAGGGTAGAGTGAGTGTAGGCTTCTAGATGGTTCTGCTCTTAGGTACTTGTTCACTGCTTGCAGCCTTGCTTTCTGTGAAGCCTGCGTATGCCTGGTACTTTTGCGTGGGCTTCATGGGATGCTGGAGGTAGAAGGTGGGTCAGGTCATAGATGGGGGACCCTGAGCTTTCCCCCACGCTAGGTGTTTGGGGTTGGAGGCCTTATCTAAGGGCAGGAGGAGTGTCTCTGCAAGACTGTGTGTTCTCTCCGGGTACAGTCAGGGAGGTGTGCGAGGGTCCGCAAGTGGACAGGATACTTGTGAATGAGGCAGTTACGTGATGTTTGTTAAGCTCATTCTTTTTTAAAGGCTGCAGATGATACCGATTTAAGGGAGGGGCACAAGCTGTGAACAGGTGCAGGGTTACAGGTGGAATGAGAGATGGCGCTGGTATAGCCCTCACTGATGTGTGGTGCAGGTACAACATGGCCACGGAGGAGATGTGTTGCTGCCCCTGGGAAGTCCAGATGAGACAGTGGGGCAGGCCTCTTGCTGAGGAAGGAGGGCTGCGGGACTGTTGGGGACCCCAGGTCAGGATAAGCTGGATTGATTCAATGGCATGTGTTTTCCACATTACACCAGAGCATTGAAAAATAACAGATTCTGACCTGAAAACTACCGTTTTCTTAAAAGATGCATGCACCAGGGCGCCTGGGTAGCTCAGTGGATTAAAGCCTCTGCCTTCGGCTCAGGTCATGATCTTGGGATCCTGGGATCGAGCCCCGCATTGGGCTCTCTGCTCAGCAGGGAGCCTGCTTCCTTTCCTCTCTCTCTCTACCTGCCTCTCTGACTACTTGTGATCTCTGTCAAATAAATAAAATCTTTAAAAAAAAAAAAATGCATGCACCTTTAAAAAATACTTTTTTTCCTTAAGTGTTGTGAAATCCAGGTCAGATTTATTAGTCTGGAAGACAAGAAGACAGGATGGAGTGGTGTTTGAAGAAATCCTTATAGGGGACCTTACCAGGGAGTGTTCTAGAACATTTATTGAGGTGGCACAGGCCATTGTCAGAGAAAGAGGCCTGAATCAGAGTTAGTCTTGATTTCTCTATGGGAAACTGTCAGATCAGGCATAGCCCATGAGATAAAAATAAAACAGGAAGTAAGAGAAAAATGGGGGAAAAAATGAATAAATTATTCCCTCAAGATGCCACTTTTTCATACTTACAAAATTAAATGTCATATGCATGTCCTGAGCCCAAAAACAAACACAATTTATTTGTTTGTTTGTTTATTTATTTATTTATTTTTAAAGATCTTATTTATTTATTTGATAGACAGAGATCACAAGCAGGCAAAGAGGCAGGCAGAGAGAGAGAGGGGGAAGCAGGCCTCCTGCTGAGCAGAGAGCCTGATGTGGGGCTCCATCCCAGGACCCTGAGACCATGACCTGAGTCGAAAGCAGGGGCTTCACCCACTGAGCCACCCAGGCACCCCAAACACAATTTAAAAAAAGTCGTTGCCACCTCCATGACTTCTGCTGTGCTGCTGCTCTTCCTTTGACTAGTGGAGAAAAGCCTGTCGGTGGATCTTTGTTTCAAGAGCCATTGGCATTTTCCGTGGCGCAGGAGCCTCAAGCCTATGAAGAAAATGTCACAGGACAAAAAAGTCTCTGAAAAGTGACTGTTGTCTCACACCTTGCTCCTAACATCTTGACCTTTCTCTGTTGGCATGTGCCAGGCACGAGAACGTATGATGGGATGGGGTCGAGGCATCTTGGACACTTGAGCTAAGAAAGGCTGGTTTTTCTTTGTTTAGGGGACTGGTGGCAGATGCCCCACACCTGTTTGCTACTCAAATGTCCCCGTCTGTGTACAGATCCTGCAGGAAATGGGTATACCCAGGACTGGCTCTGTTAAGACCTCAGGTGGTTCGCAGCCCAGTGCTTGGGGCCCTCCACCGGCCCCTTCGCTTCCACTCCTGTCTTGGTCTCCCGTAAACACACCAGGTGCTTGGTTGCCCCCTGCCCCAGGCTCTCCCCTTTCTGCCCCCCGCCCGCCCCAGGTAGTGGCTGGTTGGCCTTTACCTCCTTCCTGCAGGTGGGGCTGCCCTGATCATCCACACTGAGCCCACTGATGGTCAAGTGTCCTGCCTGCCTGACTCGGGTCTTGCGGCCACACTGCATTCACAGCTGTTCACGTCCCTGTCTTGTTCTCTGCCTCCCCCCCGGCCAACCTGGTAGCCCCTTTGTGGGAGTGCCGAGTTTTGTCTCGATCACTGGGCATCCCTGAGCCTGGAACAGGACCAGATGCCCGAGGGCAGCTCTGTGGGCACGGACCGAACAGGTGTGTGTTTAAACCCGCAGAGTGACGCTGCTGGAAGGCAGCGAGCAGGGTGCTGTGTGCACCAGACACCACCGGCCAAGAGGGAGCGTAGGCGTTCTTTTCTCCTTTTTGAAGTATTCTCCTCCAGAGTCATGTTTAACTCTCAACTCCTTTCCGGGCATCTGTTTGTCTCTGTTTCAGGAGCGGGGTCCTCTGAAACACTTGTTTACGAATGATGACTCTGCGGAATGTTTGAGATCATTACCTGGAGGATAAAGCAGGTTCTAAAAACTTCGGTTCTTAAACATGTTGCCTCCCTGGGAGCAGGGCGCAGGTTTTGAGCTACTTGGAGACTTGAAGCGGCAGGAGGTAAGCAGGGCTGCTTACGGTCTCCGTGTTGCTGTCTGTTCCAGATGCCATAAGTTCCACTAACCCACGGGTCATCGACGACGCCAGGGCGCGGAAGCTGTCCAGCGACCTGAAGCGCTGTACCTACTACGAGACGTGCGCCACGTACGGGCTGAACGTGGAGCGGGTCTTTCAGGACGGTGAGTGCTCCCGGCGCAGCTGGGTTCCCTTCCCATGGCGCGGGGTCCCATCGGCGGGCACGCGGGCCTTGGTGTGAATCCGGGGGCCCCTCTGTGCCGAGGTGGTGCTCAGCGGCATGCAGCGGTCCACGGGGAATCCTATGTGGCACGCTCGTGATGGGACTTTCTGTGCACAGGGTGCGACACCGCCCACGCTTACTTCTGCACGTGATGGGTCACATGTACGTATTTGCCATTTCTTCTCCACCATAGCTGCTCATTCTTAACCCCAGCCCATCTCTAAAAACAGTCTGAAATATTTGCTGTTAGGCTTTGGGGAGAATAAACCAAAAGAGATTCAAGTTTGAGCTAAAAATCCCCAAACAAACAAAAAACCCAACACCACCCCCACATTAAGACTGATGGCTGAGAGCCAGCACCACAATTTAGGAATTGTTTCTTTGTTGCTGAATTCATTAGTGATCACCTGCCCCCAGAACAGCCGGGCAGCAGCCTGGAAGCCCTCCTGGAGAAGCATGGGGCTTTTACGGGGCAGAGACAGTCTTGTACAGGATCAAAGTGGCAGGCTGGGAGGTGGGAGGGGATGGATGAAGACATGGGGGAGGTGGTGGGAGGGAGGGAAGTGTTGGGAGGGAGGGCTGGTCTCTGGTCTGGAGGGGTCCGGAAAGTCTGGGGGAAGGCAAGTCCCTAGGCCTGAAGGGACAGTACTCCCTGCAGAGGGTCCTGATGTCCACAGGGAGTTGTGGGGAGTCACTGCCAGGCCGTCCCCCTGCCCCCCCATCTGGCTGACCTCTGTGGTGGCAGAGCAGACCATCCGAGCCGTGGGTCATCCCGGTCTTGCTGGCCCAGACCCCAACAAAGACATGTTTCTGCCAGGGCAAGCAGTAATTACATGCCTGCATCTCCGACTCCCCAAACCGGGCAATATATGCTCGTCTTCCAAATGTCCAGATGAGTTTTCAGATGGAATTGGAGAAATCCCATACTTGGACCATTTTTAGGACATTTCATAGATTGAGTCCTCTCCAAACCTTGCATTTTCTTCCCTTTGCCACAAGAGCTGGTCCCGTTCTCAGCTCGCAGCCTCTTTCCCTGCACAGTGGCTGATCCTCCCCACTTCTCAGCCCGTGTGCCCTCTGGGTCCTCCCTGCCTCCCCAGCGCCTGTTCTGAAACAGCGGCGTCCTGCTGAGGAACAGCACGAGGGCCTTCCTCTTTTTGGCACACATTTACAACCCCCTGGCCATCCCCCTCCCCATCCCCTCCCCTCGCCATCCGCCTCCCTGCTGGAGCCTGTGATGGCCCACGGGCGCCCGTACTTATGTGAAGAGCTCTGCATGGAGGCACAGGGGGTTCCGAGGGTGGGGAGGGGGCGCCCTGCGGGGCAGGCCCAAACCTTGTGGGGTTACCGCAGGTGATGGTCGCCAGGCTGGGGCACACGGGCTGCTGCTGGCCAACCACCTGTGTCTGTGTCCCCTGGGGCTCATGGGTGGGCTGCTCTGGTTGCCACAGAGGCCTGTGCACGTCGCCCCGCCAGGCCCGAAATAGCTCCTCTCTGGCCCTCTGCAGCAGCTTGCCCGCCCCTGCTGGCGGTTTTAGGAATTTTATCCCATGAATGAGCTGATTCTCCATAGTGATTGCTTTACGTATGCGTTTATCGCAGACAGGAATTGTTCATCAATAAATGAGCTCATATGTAATAATTTTAAGAGTTGGTCCACACTAAGGGATGCCCAGGTCCCGTGCTTCCCTGCCCTGCCCCCGCTGTCTGTGAGGGGGAGCACCAGCGAGGGGAGAAGAGGGAGGACCTTTCCAAACAGCATTACTGTATCCTCTCCCAGGGCTTCTCCTGCTGCGATTTGACAAAGCACCTGAGTTTTCACAGGCTCAGGAGATTTCCAATACATTTTGTTACTTCTTATTTTAGAAATAATGCATTGTTGTTAAATATTTGAACTGTACAGAGTCAGAAAAGAAAATAATACTCATGGTACTATGGTTTCTGTGACTATTATGATTTTGTCTTTAAAATATTTCTATTTATATGAAGATCAGTTTTAAAAATAAAATTAGGGCTTACTCTGCGTGTTTTGTAGGAGGATTATTCTTTTTGTGAAATCATGAGCTTGGTAATTGTTTTATCTGTGATAAAAGTCGTTGCTGACCAAGTGGGGACTATGCTCAATATTTAGAAGCCATGAACAGTAACAGTCCATTTTAATCCTTAAGGAGAAAAGAAACCTCATAATGTTAAGAGTTTAAAGAAATCAAGGCTTAGAAAAATTACGGAGCTTAACCAGAGGCATCGGGTCTGGATGGGATGCCTGTCTTGGGACCAGGAGCCCAGAGCCTTAACCGTTCTGTCATTAAAGCCTCAGTGATGTGGGTCCTGCCTGGTCCCCTGGGGGAGCCTGGACAAGGGTGCACAGCGGGCTCCCCACCCACTCACAGACTCAGGCCATTCAGATTTCTTGGTGGACTTTTCTGGCTTCCTTTACGCCTTAGGACTTGCTTTTATTTATGTGCTTTTTGTATCTTCACATCATAGAAAGAGAAAGAACGAGCATGTGGTTTCTACGTAACATTTAACTTACTCCTGAAAGGAGGACACAGGCCTGGCTCTTAGACCAGCCAAATGCCCCCCCCTTGCCCCTGCCCCCGCCCACCAGACTTACTGGTCGACTGGCTCCCTGAGTTTATTTTTTTAAGATGTCAGGGACTATAGTCTTTGCTCCTTTAACTCAGAGTTCTTAGTATCCTGAAACTGAAGACAAATTGTGAAATTAATGGCGAAAGAGAATGCCTACTTTTCTCTCCAGGGTGTAGTTCTCACACGGCTCTTAGGAAGGAGTCCAGGACACAGGGTCTCCGTCAGCCCCGGGGGTGTCCAGAGGCCGTTCAGCAGGTGGATGCCCTCACGCAAGCAGCGGCCTTGCTCACACTGAGTCTGTGGTTCGGGGTCGAGAAGAGGGGATGGTTCAGGGGGAGGGCCCCTGCCTCGGCGAAGTGGAGGGCTAGTGCCCAGAGATGGAAGCTTGCCCCTTCCCCAAGGTTGGAAGGCAGGTTGTGAAGGACCGGGCTGCCTTGCTCACAGTGATGCTGAATCATCGTTGATCCTGCTCCTAGCTAAGTGTGTGTGGCTTGTGGAGCAGAATGCCTGGCCTCCACGAGAGGGTGTCTGTAAATAAGATTCACCTGCTGAGAAATCACATACTCCCCAGTTCTCCTGCATCTGGGCTACTGGGCCTCACATGGGCGTGGTTACCCGTCTGTCTGTCTGTCTCTCTGTCTCTCTGTCTGGATTCGCAGAAGAGCCCTGCAGGGAGCTCCGGGCCTCACAGGCTGGACCAGGGGATTGAGGCAGCCAGGGCTGCATATGGCCCCCCACCTGCCGTGTCTCTCTGTCTGTCCAGTTCTGTGCAGCTCTGGTCACCGTCGGCCGTGTCTATAAGATTAGCTTCAGGCTTTTGTAGTTTTAACATTATAACGGTGATGTCCGTGTTTGGCATGAAATTTTTCAAAAGTCCCTGGTTATTTGTTCTCTTGGCCTGGATTCCTGAAGGCCAGGATTACAGAAAAATGATGTTCACTCTCTGCAGATATTGTTTGTCTGGTGCTAAGATTTTTATTCAAGAGAAGGTCCTCTTGCTCTCTGAAGGAACCAGCCAAGTGGGAGAATCTCTTGCCGTGAGCTCATGTTTCCTGCCACTTCAGTTGAGTATCTGGGTAGGGAAAGGTGGGTCATGTTGGTGATGGGCTGTTTCAGCCGAGATAGGGATAACCTAAAATGAATATAACTTAGTGACAGGAATAAATCCTTCCCCTAGACCAAGCCGTGCTGAAGGGCAGTGAAAAGCCACGTGTGGAAGTGGTCAGAGGGCCCCTTGGACCATTTGTGTGTGCCATTTTGAGAGAAGAAAGGGGACACTGACTCCCCATGTTCCTTAGGGAACATTTGGAGTTTTAGTTCCTTGAGGTTGGGCTCTGGAAGTGATGAATTCTCCTCTCTTTCCAAACACACTTAGATTTCTCAGCCTACACAGAGTGTCCCTGTTTATGGCCTATTTTGTTTTGATGGCAGTGATTGTACAATGGGTATATACGAGGAGCATAATGATTTGGGTCATAGTGCAGTTCTCTTTTTCAAACTCAGCATGATGTAGAAGCAGTTTTTGGTGTATTATGACATTTTGTGAAGTAGAACCAATAGACCCCCTAAGTGTTCAGGGAGGTATATTTTATAATTTTTAAATATTACATTATCTGACTGGTGTGTGATGTTTTAAAGATATCTGATATATAAAGAAAAGCGGTTTCCCTTTCATGTGAAATGAGTAAAACCTGATGGTGGTACAAAATATTTAATTTTCCCTTATCCAAGCTCCTTTATGACTTTTTTCTCTAGCCCTCCCTCCCTCTCCTAAAATGAGCGGATAAATACTTGTATTGTAAAACAGCAGTGTTCTATATACAGGTCATTCCTGTTATGCATCCTGACGCCAGCTGTTTTTTTACAGAATGTAATACTCTTACACGTAAACTCTAAAACTGTCATCACTTGTTAAATCTGAACTGAAAACACCCTATTAGACATTAGAGCATGCTGCCCTGTAAAGCTTTAACTTCTTGTCTTGAGCTTGTTTTCATAGGATGGTAGGAAAACTGTATACAGCATTTCGCTCTGACAGTAATTGTTTGGACCCAGTCAAGATCTGTATAAGCAAGATGTAAATCAATTACATGTCACTGTCTGTCTCCCTGACCCTCCCCGAGATGGCTGGGTCTGTTCTGTGTTGTTGAGAGTACCTGGGTCGTTGAGTGATCTCCCGTGGAAGACCGCTCACCCTAGGGTAGATGTTCTACGTTACTTCCATTAAAAAGAGACCATTCAGTTTGAGGTGCATGAGGGTGGGGAGGCTGGCCAGTCGCCTCAGCAGGGTTCTGTGCACTGGTGGCTGCTGTCTGGACTTCCCGGTGCAGTGTCCTGCAGTGCCGGTATGGG